TCCATTCCTCAGTAAACCTTGGGTCATACATTCTATTTGCATCTCGCCATCTTCTAATTGTTTTTTTGTTTTATGATGTGAGATTGATGGATTGTATGTGTTCCCAATTCTCTTTGTGTGTAGCGGGACAGTACCCAGCCTGTCCATGTACAAATTATTTCGTTTGAATGGAAGTGTTTATTTTTTCATGTCCATATAAATCTTTAAAACAACGGTTGTTTGATTGTTTGGGCAGTAGTTTTTGAGTGACTGAGTTGAACTCTTAAGGGGGGGTTGAGTTGGTTTGGAGTGCCTGACTTGTTTTGGTTTGGGTGGGTTTTGAGTGTGTGTTGGAATTGTTTGCTGTGATGCTTTGGAAAGCTATAGTCTGGACAGGGGCATGAAGATAGGGGGACAAGACAGCTGCTGCAATTGGGACCAAAGAAACCAACCAACCTTCAAAGTGGACAAATACTCTGGGACGGAGGTTATATATATATATATATATATATATATATATATATATATATATATATATATATATATATATATATAGATAAAGGAAGAAAAGAAACATACCGATTTTGAGATTGTAAAATATTTATGGATTTCAATCGGGAAAAAAGGAGAGAACCAAGCTATGAACACGAGAGAGAGAGAGAGGGGCTGCGGAACAACCGTTGTTCGCCGCCGATCTTCGGACAGGAAGAAGGTCAGTCGTTGTCGCACCACCATTGATCGTGGTCGCTAGAAAAATAGCCGCCATCGTCCTCCATCATATTCGCCGATTAATTGGTGAAGTCTTTATAATTCATCTTCAAGTAATCGAGGTGAGTACATGGGCATCAAACGCTAAATTATTCATATAAGTTTAAAAGTCACGTTCGTAATCTTGTATGATTGATTATGTGATTTATTTGATTATGATTTGAATTATTATTTATTAAAAAAATATATGATGTTCTTGATTGATCGAGGAAGGCTAGGTAGGTTCTCTTACTCCCATTTGCATACTTTGTGTGTCAATAACCTTTAAAAACATTATACGTATTGAATGATTTGGAATTGGATTGAACTCTGCTGTTTCCATACATTTCTAATGTTAGAAAATAGCTAGATATAGCCTACCGGTACACAGCTGCCGCCATAAGCTAATTTTCGTATACGGTAATTGTACCCGGACGGTCGGGGGTATCGGACAGACGGTGCCAAGGTACTGCCTTGCCAGGGTACCGTAACAAGTACCGTGTATGACTCTAGCTGCCCTCTTTCTTGTTTTTTGTCATGATTCAAATCCTGGATTTACTTTGAGCTCTTGTGTTGAGTCACAAAATAACATATTTTATTCTCCAAAAAATTACTGCCCGGTACCCTCAATTTTGTGATAAGAACTGCCAGGTCCCATTATTTTTCTAAATATACTCCGGGGTACCTTAAAGTATCTGAAAAATTACTAGTGGATGACATTCCGTCCATGCCTCCGTTAGTTTCTCTATCCGTTATCTTTTTCTTCTTCTTTCATGTTTCTTTCTCTCTTTTTTTCTCTCTTTCTTGTACCAGCCCCCCCCCTCCCACCTTCCCAATCCCCATCAGAGACCAGCGCCCCTCCTCCCCATTTTTTAGAAAGAGACTAGTACTATATTTTTTAGAAAAACAGCAATATTTATAATTATTATTATTATTATTATTATTATAAATTGCTCCATATTATTTTTATTTATTATTATTACTATTATTATTAAAATTAGTTATTATAAAAATAGCATTGATTTTTATTTAGGAAAATAGCACTTGTTATAAAAAAACACTTATTATTAATATTATTATTTATTAAAATAAAATAATAAGTAATTTTAGTACCTTACTCTTTTATAAAAATAACACTACTTTTTAGTATTACTTTGTATTAATTATTATATACTTCTATTTTTTAATTTATTATTCTTATTAAAAGTTAATTAGTAGTTTTCTAACACTATTTTTTAAGTAAAACAATACTAATTATTATTATTTAAATTAAAACTTATTACTATTATAATTAAAAACAATTACTAGTACTTTTACTATTCTAATACAATAACTAATAATAAAATAATAATATCTATTAGTAATACTAATACTAATAAAAATAAAAATAATAATAATAATAGTAATAATAATAATAATAATAATAATAACAACAACAATAAAAGAAGAAGAAAAAGAAGAAAAGAAAAATAGAGGAAGAAAAAAAGGGGGAGGGATTTGGGTGGGGGGGGGGTGCGGTCTCTAATGGGAATCGGGAAGAGAAAAAAAGAAAGAAAGCGACAAAGAAAGAAAGAAACATGAAATAAGAAGAAAAAGATAACGGAAATTGAAAGTAACGGAAGCATGGACGGATTGTCACCCCTTAGTAATTTTTCGGATAATTAAGGTACCCCGGAATATATTTAGAAAAATAATGGGACCTGACAGTTCTTATCACAAAATCGAAGGTACCCGGTAACAATTTTTTGTTTTATTCTCTCACTTCTTAGTACTTTTAAGATACTTTGATGCATTTTATACTGAAATATTAAAACTTTCCAATATTTAGCATTTAAGGCTATTGTTTATGTTTTATACATAAAATGCCAGATTTTGAGCAAGATTATATTTTACAATTATTTGAAAGTACGGAGTATTACTTTCCTTGACACAATCTTTTTAGATATATACTCCGTATTTTGGAGCTCAAAAGCAATTAAAGGAATAGAAGGATTGGGCCAAGCCCAGACATCTAATTGGCCATCACCCTTTTGACCCAATTGTTAAGCAAGGAAATAAATAACAGAAAAAGAAAGAAAGAAACGTAGAAGAGGTAGGAGCCCCAGGCGCAAGAACCAACCGGATAGCCTTCTTCTTCAACTCCAACTCTAATTTCAAGTCCTAATCCAAATTGAAGACTAAAGCTGGATTAATTTGTGTACTCCCTCCGTCCGGAAATATTCTTCACGTGTTGACTTGACACGCTTATTAAGGAATAGTAAAAAAAATGTAAAATTTTCAAAAATGCACATACTATAAACTTTTAAATCTCCTTTTATTATTAAAAAACTACTAAAAAAGTAGATTTGTGATAAAATAGAAGGGTATTATTGATATTTATCCTTAAAAACTATACTAAAGAAGGAAATGTGAAGAATATTTCCGGACGGATCAAAAAGGAAAGTGGGAAGAATATTTCCGGACGGAGGGAGTATAAAAGAAGCAAAAAGAATGGGTTGAATACGGAGACGGATAGAGACGAGAGAACAGATCGGAGCAGAGCAGGTGCCGACCTAGGGTTCCGACCCTAGGTCCGGCGACGGCAATTGCACAGCGGTGACGACGACGGGAGGTCTGGACGGCAACTCCGACACTAGGCATATTCTGAGCGGCGGCCATGGATGGAGAAATTTCTTTGGCAGCCATTTCTTTTCTTTGGCAGTGAACGAACGGATGAAGGAGCAATACTCAGGGGAGCAATTTTCTCCTTTTTAATTTTATTCTTTAATTTAATTAAGACTTTCCAATTTATAAGTTTCACAATTTATGAATTTGATTGTCAGTATTAAATATGTTTATTTTCAATTCTATGTTTGTTGAATGTGTAAGTTATATTACAAATGTTGAATTGCATGTGTGTTGTTGTTGAATTGTTCAATTATGATTTATTGATTGATTATTGTCTCTAAAATTATGAAACCTTTTTAGGCCGGATCGTTTGACAAAAAAGATTGAATCTTTGATTTGGTTGTTTTTGTTGGATTAATTTGACCTTGAAGGAATTTTAGCCTTTGCGCTACTGTCAAATCTAAATTGAAAAGGTGTTTGAAAACTAGTCTTTGTTTAAACTTGGATTAGATCAATTTAGGACGGCCGCCTAAACTCTAATTCCAAATTTCCAATTGACAGTTTTAAGATCTTGAGTACGTTTATAGCTGAGATTTTTAAAACACAAGTGTCACCTGGTTAATACTTAATTGGCTCCACCTAGTTTTTATTAATCAAAGTTTTCAAGCTGGCTGTGTTAAATATATATAGTCTACTGCATAGTTGTTATGTGATGTTTTCCAAAGAACTTAATGCTCTATTTTTAATTAAATCTGAGGGCAGGTCCTTGGGTTGTTAAGAATTGTTGGTAGGGGTGGGCGTAAAATCCATTCCCGTTGGACCGTCCCGAAAAATCCCGGATCCGTTTTGTAATTGTATCGATATATTGGGACACATTTTTTGTCCTGAACCCGTTCCGTCCCAATATCAAATGAGACATGAGCGGGACAGCTTAAATTTATACCGATCCGTCCCGTTTGTCCCGTTTCATCTACTCTACTAATATATACTCCCTCCGTCCCTGAGTGTTTGTCTACTTTCATTTTTGCACACCATCCAATACACTTCTTTAATCTATTTTATCTTATAATTTGTATATTAAAAAATTATAAAAATTATATATTAATAATCTATATGTTAAGACGAATCAAACAAGATCACACATGACTATTTTTAGGCTTACACATTGAGAGAATTTGATGAGTCAAAGTGCACAAGTTATTAAGAGTATGTTTTCAAATCAAATCGAGAAGACTTTCAGACTTGTCCAAACCTTCGTCTAGTTAGAAAAATTAGCTAATTCCCTTCGTCCACTCCTCAAGAGACACGACACTCGGAGAAAACTAACCCTTCATTGGGAAAGTTGACTTACCAAAAAACTCAATCATCAAATGGCGTTGTTGCCGGGGAGTGGGACGGTTTTAGTTTTTTTTTAAATTAGCATAGGTGAAGACCGGTTAGGTCGATCTTCTCACCTCTTTTTCACAAGCCACCCGTAGTAATCATTAAAAATGAATTTTCGAGATGATTACTAAGATCCACCTCCTTTCTACCAACCACCCAACCATCCACCATCATTTTCCCAACAGTCCAATTCATATCCACCATCACCACCACCATATTATCCACATCAGGATTTATATTATGATGACTACTCCGTCAATAATGGATCTGATTATTATCCATACCATGAGGAAGCACCATACAATACCCCGTCTCGGAGCTTTGGATATTCTCCATACCAAGACAGCTGTGGGGATTATTATGAACCTCATGATGATCAAAATGATTATGACGAACAAGGACCAATGTACGATGACCAACTAGATCCACTTATTGAAGAGATTTTGTGGACTGAGAAAAGAATACTTAATCTTGACTTAGCATTAGTAATGGAGTGTTCATTATTTGAACCACCATATTGCCGTGATTACTCTCTGACTCGTGAAGACAAAATCGAAGCAAACAGAGATGCAATCCAGGCGAGAGAACGATTTCTCAAAACAGCCAAAGAAGAACGCCAACTGCTCCAAACCCAGAAAGAAAACAAACAACGTGAATATTGGGAGCATATGCAAAAGATGCTAGAGGACTTTAAGAAGACTATGGAACAACAAGAAGAGATGGAGGAAATTGTTGTTCTAGAAGAGGATGAAGAATCTGAGACAGAATCTGAAACTGAATCCAACAATGTCTCAATTCTTGAATATCCACAAACTCCATCACCACTGGATATCGAAAATAAGATAACACTTGCAGAAATGATTGCACGAGGTACAGTGGTGATGCTTCCTGAAAGCCCACAAAGTTTAACCGTACAAGATGTGAAGCCTACCGAGGGTCCTGTCTCGGAACCGCCTTCACGAGCTGCACCAAAAACGTTAGAGGAACCTGTCCTCCTAACATGTGTTGAAGACACTTCTCCAGAGGAACCTGTTCTGGAGAAATCTGAGCCCACCACCGACCCCCTTGATTCCGATGAGTCTGACAAATCTATAGACGAGAAATTACCTTGTGATGCTGAATCCATTCCGTCTATAGAAACTATCACTGAAGACTCGGAGGAAGGACATGTTGTAATCTGTTGTGATATTTTATTTACTCGCAAGTGCACGAACCGTACGAAAGTATAGCAACGCAAATACGAGGTCGATCCCACAGGGACTTGATTATGTGAAGAATTTTATTCTAGATTCAATTGAATATTTCTAATCTAATTGGACAAAATTTAATATAAAAAAACAACTAAATATGAAAGTGACTAATTTTAAAGAAATCTTAATTTAAACAAAAACTAAAGATTTTTCTTACTAAAAATTAAAAGATTAAAAGTAAGTTTTCAAATATGAGAAAGAACTAGGACTTGGAATCCACTTATATATTCAAATGTAGTTTCTACTCAATCATTATTTTTTCCAAACTTAATACGCATGATAATCTCGCAACCAAGTCTCGTTATCATGGAGGATATATCAATTAAGCTCTAAAAATCAATTTCTAAAATATGTTATTTTTCAAAGTTTCAAGAGAAATTCAAATCATTAATTGTATCTCATCAAGAAATCACAACTAATATCTGTTCTTTTAACTTGTCAAACAATTATTAGGATTATTCAAAGCATGAGAAAAACATGATTGAACTCATCTAAAAATTAACCCTAACAATCAATTGGAAAAATAGAAAATAAACATTTAAGTTCAATATAGAAAAATAAATCATGAGTAAATATCAAATTGAATATATAAGTTTCATCCTTGCCCTAGCTATGGAGTTTAGCCAAACATAATGTAAATTTTAACAAGATTGATAGTAAAACTTGACATAATTAAAGAAGAAGGGAAGAAATAAAATCTAAAATTGGAGGAAGAAGACGGACCGTGCTGTTGCAGTGCCACTCCAGATTCGTCGCCGCCGTCACTGAAGGTCGGAAGACCCGCCGGAGAGCATTCCGCCGCTGGAAGCTGCTTTCTTCCGTTTTTTTCCGTTTCCAGCCCCTTGATATGATGCGGCTCCTCTCTCTTTATACCCATCATGTCTCTCTTCTTTTTTTAGGTTTAATGTGGGTTGGGTTGAGAATTGAGATAGAATTTGTATAGCAATTGGATCTTGACTTGCACTTGGACTTTAAATCTTCAATCCATTAAAGCTTGGCCCAATTCTCCATCTCTTGAATTTAACATCTTTTTTTTTATTCCAAAAAGTATATCTGAAAACATATAATAGAAATTAATTTCAACACGAAATATAATAAAAACTTTACCCAACTTATGATTTTAGTGTGAAAATATAACACGTAGCCTAAAAAGCTAAATATTTCATTATGTAATTTATTTTAACATAAAATGCATTAAAAATATAATAAAGAACTAAAGTATGACCAAATAAAATGTGACAATTTGTAACGTATCATAATCATCGAGCCAGCAACTGAAAGTCAGCCCATTGAACACTTGGAGAGCCATGTACTAGCGATTAGGGCCAATGATGTGGATACACCGAGGAGACTCCCACCACCATCCATCCAAGACGAGTCTTCTCCATTTTTCCTGTTGCCACCACGCTGCAGGAGTGAGTCAAAGATCCTGGACTTTGACTAGAAAAGAACAGAACAAAGGTGGCATCAGAAGAGAGTCAAAAAGGTCAAACTTTATGACTCTCGGATCGGTAAATCCCGTAAAAACGGGCTAACGTCAAGCTAGTGACGTTAAAGAAGCGCTTCTTGGGAGGCAACCCAAATAAATAAATTTTATTTTTCCTTTTTCCTTTTTATGCGTTTTTGTGTGTTTGTGTGTGCAGGTGAAGCTTGGAATTAGGAATGCTGGTGAACCATTTTGACTCAACAAAAAAAAAGAGGAATGACTAACTTTTGTGCACAATTTTGTAAAAAAACATTTTCAAAAGAAAAAAAATTGAGAATTTTCTCTGTCCCAAACTCTTGTTTTTATCGCTTAATGACCTCGAGGGCGAGGTCAACCCTAAGTGTGGGGAGATTGGAGTTTGGTACAGAATGTTTTTATTTGTGTAGGAAAACTTTTTGAAAATATTTTTATACACTTTGTTGCATTTTGTATATTAATAGTGATCTCTGCGCCGTGTACGGAATGACTGTCTAAGCTAGAATGGTACTTAAGTGGACACAAAGGGTGACGCCTTCGGGAGCCGAACTTGTCCCACCATTCCTACTGGGTCATTTCGTAGAAAGGTTTATTCGGGTGAGCCTAAGAGCATCTAATTGGCAGCATTCTGCCTGATCCCGAATACTCTGAATCGGTCTAGTTATCACTATTGATACTTTTAAAATTCTTTTACACTTTTTACTCTTTTCATAGGTAGAATTATTTTTAAGAGCCCCCTTACGCAAAAAAATTAGCCAAAATTTTTAAATTTTTTTCTTTAAATTGCACATATAGTCTTTTTATTGGCTAACTTTAATAAGTTTTGTAAATAAATAAATTTGGATACTGATGTGTTGAAAATAAAATTATTGATTTAGTGAATAAATATTAACTCGTAAAATACGTTAAGGTCAAACATTTGTAACTTGTCATTTAAAATGATGTTGTTTCAATACTTCAAATTGAGTATGAGCAGTATACTTTTAAGCAAATTTGATATTTCGATGATTGCATTGTAAGTTTTGAAACTAAAAAAAATTCAAAGAACACACTTTGGTGAGACCGAGTTCTGGAGTGAATTCAAAGTCAAAAAGCATTTGGTTCTATGTCAGATGATGAGACTTATATTGAAGTGAGTACCAAAAAGCACGCGGTTCTATGTCATGTGATGAGGCTTTTGAGTGAATAAAAATCCAAAAAGCTCGTGGTTCTATGTCATGAGATGAGGATCAAAGTTTTTGCTTGTGTCAACATGACAAAGTGATGTTCTACAAAAAAAATTCAAACTTACTCTTTGCATAGGAATAAATGATAATTTTAGAAAAGTTTTTTTTAATTTTTTTTTTCAATGTACATATTTTTGACCATAAACTACAGTTATTATAAAACACTTACAATTCTTTTATTTTAGCCATTAGTATTTAAGTTTGTAAATGGGCAACTTTTACATTTAGCCAATAAAATTAATTTATGTGCATCTTTTAGAAAAACAAATAAAAATATATTAATAACTTTTTGTAAAAAGGGTGCTATTTCTAGTAGTTCTATTTTTGTAAAGATTAAATAATGTAAAAAAAAAATTTGTGTAACAAATTGTTTAAAAGTGTGATCAATAGTTTTTCCAAAATATTTTTGTAAATAAGTGTTTGATCCAAAGTTTCATTTGTTGTTGTACTATGTTGCTTGAGGGCAAGCAACGCTTAAGTGTGGGGAATTTGATAAGTCCGTTTTGTACGCACTTATCTTCTCTATATTTAATGTGTTGTGGTCCAATTTTGGATTAAACAAATCAATTTCTCAATGGTTTTTATATCTTTTATTCATAATTGCAAAAGTGTACAAAAGTTATGTTTTGTTGTAAAAAGAATAAAAATTGAGTCAAAAGTGGTACAAAAAGGTAAAAGATTGTGCAAATGGAATGCAGCGGAGCAAAGAGATTTGTTCGGAATTTGAAGTCGGCACAGAAAGAAAAGTTGTTCAGAATAAAATTTTGAGCAAGAATGTATTTTTAGAAAATATTTTCAAACCGGGTAAAAATCCAACCAACCAGGCACTGCCACGTGGCGCAACCAGGTTGGCCGGCCTACTGTGGCAGCAGCAGCAAGGGAGTTGCGTCCAATTTCATGTGTCAGCTCAAAATCATCATCATCAAATCAACAAAGTAAAGAAAAATACTCACGCCATCAACAATTGATTTGCCTGATTGTGCAAGCCGCCGCACATCATCAATCGCCAGCAGCACTAACACTCCAGGCGTGCACCTCGACCTCAAGCCCACGCCTATTAGAGGCCTGGACCGAAATTTTCTCCTATAAAAAGAGGGCTTCGCCCTTCATTCACAATCAAGCCCTCTTCCAGGTCTTTAAGGCCCGGAACTCCATTCTCCGCTCCCGTTCTCAGTTATATTTCAATATTTTAGTTTACTTTTGTTCTGGTTGTCCCAAAGTGGCTCCAACTCTGCTCTCTGTTGTAAGTTTAAATATTTGCAATTTTAATAAAATGTTCGTTTCTTTTATGCACTATTGATATCTAGTATGGGTTAGGGCCGAGATTAGGGTCGTGGCTAAATTTGGGCATATACTCCGTATGTTTATTTAATAGTTGGAATAATTATTCTAGAATTATTTTTATTGTTAAATTAATCAATTATGTCGAGAGAAAAATTAATTAATAATTGGAAATTAGTTTTTGCCTTATCCATGAGGATATAAAATTAATTAAGCCAAACTTTTTAGAACACATTAATGTTGCCTTGAGAGAGGATAAGTTAATGAAATATTTGTGACAGAAATATTATTATTCCAATTATTGATTAAATATGTGACAACAGTAGTTAACTCAGATGATGCCTTGGCCCGAAGTCAAGTCCTATACCCGTACTATTTATTTTCTTTTTCTCAAAAAGCACCTAGTACTTTAGTTTATTTCCAAATTAAATCGAGAAGACTTTCAGACTTGTCCAAACCTTCGTCTAGTTAGAAAAATTAGCTAATTCCCTTCGTCCACTCCTCGAGAGACACGACACTCGGAGAAAACTAACCCTTCATTGGGAAAGTTGGCTTACCGAAAAACTCAATCATCAAGCGCCCACGTGGACCTCGTAACTCCCCATCCCTCAGCGTGGCCCAGTCGAGGAATGAGGAGTTGGGGGGCTTGTGATGGGCCGATATCCAACGGGCGGCCCAATTGAACCATTTGATGGGTTCCGGGTCAAGCGCTTAGGGAATACTTAGGCCTGGGCCGGCCCATGAAGCTAAGCCCGGTCAATTCCAGTCCAAGAATAGCTGGCAGAGTCAATCCGGAGAAGGAGACGGAGCTGAATGAGGGAGACGAAGCCAGAAAAAGGGGATCGCGCCATTGACGGGAGAGACTCCAATAATTATGTATTACCTTAATTGTCTAGAACCGATGTATAAATAGAGGAGACCCGAAAGGGGAAAACTCAAGCTAAATCAAGCTAATAATACACACCATATTCTCGAATTCTCGTTCTTAATTCTGTTCTTACGATCCGCTCTTCTGAATCGGATCATTTGGTGGATTTATTGTCCATCAATTGTATAAACAAATTATTGAATAAAGTAACTTGAGTTAAAAATAATTATATTAAATTAGATGAAAAACTGATATCAAAGGATTGGTTTATATAGAATAAGAAATGATTTTTTATCAAACAGTCAGATTTTAAAAAAACAACAAAAAATTAAAAATGAAGAAAAAGTCGTTTGTTAGTTTGGCGTGTCGGGACACTACTCCCTCCTACCCCGAATCTCGAAAACAGAGAGGGGGCGGTGTTCCCGTTGGTACTACATGCCATGAGGCACGCTGAACTCCCCCCGCAGTCCACACTATGCAGCAATGTTATTAAACCCGGACCGGACCGACCGGTCAAACCGATTGGACCGCGAACCGGACACCAATCCGGTCCGGTTTAACATCGAAACCGGCCATGGCTTTGACCCGTCCAAACCCGGAAGAACCGGGTTGGCCCAGCCGGTTTCCGGGTTTAGACCAAAATGCATTATTTGATTAAAAAATCTCATTCTAGGATTCGAACCTCCTGGCCACCACAGCTACACATGAGAGATCTTAACCAAATTAGCTACACAGCTTTTGCTAACAATGCCATGCAATGTTGAATATATTAGCTTCTTAAACTATATAGAGAGTAATTTTAAAAAAAAACTTCCAATTATTTAAAAAAAGAACTATGTTTATATAATATATTTATATTGTTAATTTTTTAATTAGTTCAAACATATATATAATTAGTATTATTTATTTTTATCTTAAGAAAACTATAAATAATCTATACTTAATGTATTATTCTTTATCTTTAAATTATTAATTATAATTTAATATTCCGCTTTTTATATTTTCAATCATTTTAATCAACTAAATATAAATTTTACTCCGTAAAATGTAACTAGTAAATAAAAACATATTATCTATTCTTTATTTTTCAAAAACAAAAAGAGTATTACCTTATAATTTAAGTGTGTGTTAGACACTCAATTTTTAATAATAATAAAAGTAATTGAAAA